TTTCTCCTCCAAATAACGCTTGAGCGCACAAATGATACCATAAACAGTCTTGGGAGGGTATTTTCCATCAGACTATTTAGCTACCTCCATCACGAATTTTGACAACCAATAGTTCAGCGACAGAGCATCCATTCCGGCAATATCCGCGCTCAGAGCGATAACCTTGTGTAAATCGTAGTCCTTGAAGAGACCACCACAATCTAATACCGGAACTTCGATCTCTGCCATTCGGCAAAAATGCTCACAGCCCACTTATTTTTATACTTAGTTAAAGCTGGAACGGCGTCATTCACCAGAACATTTTCTTGAAAAGAAGTTTTAGGAACGCGAAATCGTTCTGATCCGGACTCGACCCCCATCACGCGCCGTAATGTTAATCTACTAAAAAACCCGCCAGCATGGCATTCATTTAATTTACCGCGAATAAGAAACAAACAATCGCAATTCCTCTCAATTCTCACACTAGTTTGAGAAGCCATGTCAAAAACTCGTGCTTCGTGTTTCATCAGGGATTCCAGTCACCTCGAAACAATAAAAGTACTCGGTTTGCGGCCTAGTGCTTTCATCTGTTTCTCGGTGTCTGGAACCCCTGATGAAACACTCGCACCCGTTTTTGACACATTACTTCAACCACTAGTTACCAAACTCCCCTCCTACATTAAAAACACCACCCATGGCCAATGCAACCCATGGCCACTTTCTCAACAAACTCAATAATATAGGCCAATTACCAGACGGTGTACTACTCGTTATCCTTGATGTATCTTCACTTTATACGAACATACCTCACAAGGACGGAATCCAAACCTGCAGCGAATTCCGTGACAGTCATTTAAATTCCTCTACTCAGACAACCAGACTCTGTGATCTCATCCATATGATCCTCACAAATAACACTTTCGCTTTCAACGGACAACGCTACCGACAAGTTACTGGGACAGCGATCGGCACGAACATGGCTCCCTCTCACGCCAATCTCTTCATGGGGAAGTTGAAGAACGCGCCCTAGCCGGTGCAACCTGTAATGGCGTGACCGCATGCGTGACACGCCTAGTGATTAGTATGCATATTAGGTGTTATTAGTTTAGAACGTGCAGCTTGTATCATAACGTACGTAGTAAAGGATTGTGAAAGACCTACGATGTAAGCTCGACATTAAATTGGCGACGAGGTAAAAGTGGAATGGCGGTAAACATTGGATACAAACAATTTCCCGAATTCGACGTTCGGAATGACCCCGAAACGGTATACGCGCGCTTCTCAAAATATGCTAAGCGGTTCAAGAACAACCACTTGAAAGCCTACAACATCACAGACAAGCACCAACAAAGATCATTGTTCCTAGATTCGATAGGCGAAGCCACACTAGATATATTCGAACAGCTTGACGATACGGGAACGGATTTGGACGGAGCTATCACCGCACTTCTGAACAAGTTCAAAGAATCGCAAAACCGGCTGTTCAATATACACAAATTTCGTTGCACTATACAGGGAAAAGATGAAACCTGGGACTCGTTCATCGCTAGGCTAAAAGCAGAGGGCGAACACTGTGATTTTCCGGCAGAATGGTTGGATACAGAGATATTAATGGCCATGATAACGAACGGCAAATCAAAGAGAGTGAGAAGAAAGCTTTTGCAAGACCAACTAACGCTAGCTGAAGCTCTCAAATACGCTCGTGGCCTTGAGAGTGCGGATCAACACGCTACAAGAGTAGAAAACCAAACGACGACCGAAGTGACTGTCAAGCAAGAAATCAATAAAACCACTGTCGACAAAGGTAGAGAAAAACTGTGTTTTAATTGCGGGAAACGTTGGCCACACCAGGGGGGGCAAAGAAAATGCCCGGCTTTTGGAAAACAGTGTACGCGATGTGGCAAAAGAAACCATTTTGCAAAGTGTTGCAAAAACAAGCAAGAAATTAAATTAGCACAAGGAGGCGAGCAAATATCTGACACATCGTCGGACAGCAGTGATGAAGAGTCCACGTGCACGCTGCAAGAGGTGAACCCCGTGGGACAGTCACACAATAGGCCCCTAAAAACAGTGCTAATTAGCGGAGTTGACATTACGGTACTACCGGACAGCGGTGCTACGGTCAACGCTATGGATGAGGCAACGTTCAAGAAATACGGCCTAGACAAAAGAGTAAAGGTTAGAAAGTCAAGATGCCAAATAAAACCATACGGGGCAGCATCGAAAGCAAACACGCTGCCTGTTCTGGGTTGTTTTGAAGCACTTACGGAATCTAAGACAAAGATGAAAGTGATCACGTGGCAGCTAATAAAAGGAGACACCCGCACCGAACCTTTGCTCGGGTACAATGATGCGAGAGACCTCGGAATGATTCTTGTGACCAATTCAATTGCAACAGAAAGCAATCAGCCAGAAGGGACAGACAACCTGAATGAAGTGTTAGAGGAATACAAGGACCGGTTTCAAGGAATTGGAAAGCTAAAAGGAATCCAGGTCGATTTGAATGTAGACCCTGATTTTAAGCCGGTTGCACAGCCACCACGCCGGCAACCGTTCAGCGTACGTCAGAAGATGGAAGAAGAAATAAAGCATCTTATTGATCAAGACATCATTGAAAAAGTCAACGAACCTACGGGATGGGTGTCACCGCCTGTGGTTACGCCCAAGAAAGATCAGAGCCAGATACGTCTGAACGTGGACATGCGCGTGGCAAATCAGGCAATACCCCGCAGACACACACAGCACCCCACAATAGACGACGTGGTCAACGAGCTGAGCGGGTCAACGGTGTTCTCCCACCTGGATATGAGCAAGGGATACCACCAACTTGAACTCAAAGAAAGTTCGCGGAACGTAACGACCTTTTCAACTCACATTGGCTTGTACAGGTATAAGAGGCTCAACTATGGTACAAGGTCAGCGGCAGAGATATTTCAAGAGACGATCAGAGAGGAATTGACGCACGACCTGAAGGGAGTTTTCAACATAAGTGATGACATCATTGTGCATGGGCGTGACAAAAAGAACACGATGCAAACCTGGTAGCATTACTCGAGAGAAGCCGCGAAAAGAATGTCACATTCAACAGAGCAAAATGTGAATTCAGAAAAGATCGCGTGGTCTACTATGGCTTGATGTTCTCTAAAGATGGAGTATCTCCAGACCCATGCAAAGTGAAAGCCATTAAATCTGCAGGACGCCCTAGAAATGCAGCCGAACTTAACTCATTCCTCTGTACGGTCAGATATAGTTCACGATTCATGGAAGCCAGACAGTATCAGAAAGCGGCGTGCAAACTGGGTGAGCTAGTGACCGGAAAATTCGAATGGAAACCGGAACACTCAGAAGCATTCGAGGAACTTAAGAACATGCTCAGTAGCGACACAGTCCAAGCATACTTTGATCCCCAGGCGGTGCACGAGCTTCATATTGATGGGTGCCCTGTGGGTTTGGCCGCGACACTTACGCAGAGAAAGCCTGGAGAACAATGTTGGAGAGTGGTGCAATATGCCAGTCGGAGCCTCACCGACCCGGAAAAACGATATAGCCAGATTGAATTAGAAGCTCTAGCAGGTGATTTTGGGTGCAAGAAATTCCACCTGTTCCTGTATGGGAGACCCTTTAAGATCGTGACTGACCACAAGCCTCTTGAAAGTGTGTTCAACAAACCCACCCACACGTCTTCGATCCGGGTCCAAAGGATCGTCAATCGTATGATGGACTATGATTTCATAGTAGAGTACCGTCCTGGGAAAGAGAACATATCAGATTACACATCACGTCACCCTATGCCACTTCACGAGTGCTCCAAGTCCGAATTGAGAACGACTAAGGAGGTACGGCATTATGTAAACTATGTGGTAACGTGCAGCACGCCCAAAGCTGTCACCAGAGACCAGGTAAAGGACGCCACTGAGGAAGATCCAGCACTTCAAGCACTAAAGAAGTACATCAACCAAGGCTGGATAGACACAAATGATACAAGGACACACGAATTTCGGCAAGTTTTCCATGAACTAACCATAGTAGACGGGATTGTCTTGAGAGGGGATCGGATCGTTGTGCCCGCAAAACTCAGACATAGAATGGTGGAAATTGCGCACGAGGGTCATCAGGGCCAGGTGCGAACAAAACAGCTTTTGAGAGCACATGTATGGTTTCCCGGAATGGACTCACAATGTGACAAGTTCGTGTCCACTTGCATCGCCTGCCAATCTAACACGCCGCAAACGCATCGCGAGCCACTCCGGATGACAGACCTACCGGAAGGACCGTGGGAGAAGGTCAGCGTGGATTTTTGCGGACCAATGGCGAGTGGTGACCTCGCCCTCGTATTTTACTGTCAATATGCCAGATACCCAGTGGTTGAATTCGTGGGGTCCACGAGCGAGAAAGCAACAATACCGACTTTCAAGAGGGTGTTCGACACATATGGAGTGCCAAAAGAAATCAAATCAGATAACGGACCGCCCTTCAACAGCCATAAATTCGAAGAATACGCAAAAGAGGAGGGGTTTAAGCACCGGAAAGTGACACCCGGGTGGGCAGAAGCCAACGGCGATGTGGAAAGGTTCATGCAGAGAGTAAAGAAGACCGCTCGGATCGCCTCTTTGGAAGGCAAACCCGTGAGGGATGAAGTGAACCGGGGAATCAGGGCATACAGAGCAACTGAGCATGCGACAACTGGAGTCAGCCTGAACAAGCTCATGTTCGGAAGGGAATTACGTGGAAAGTTCCCTGAAGTCAAGGGACAGCCTAAATACAGGGATGACACGATGATCCGCTGTCGGGACCGAGAACAAAAACAGAAGATGAAACAATATGCTGATAAAAGAAGACACACAGCCGTGATGAAAATTAAAGTCAGGGGACACTGTGTCGTGCAAGCAGGAACGTAAAACAGCCTGACCCCTCTGTATGACCCGGAGCCTATGGTAGTCATTGGCGTCAAGGGAAGCTTGGTCACTGCCAAGAACAGTGTTAGGATTCGCACCAGGAATTACGCCGATTGGAAACTGCTCAAAAATGGTTGTAGGGAATCACCGCGGTGTGATGATTCTGACAGCGGTGAGGCATTTGAACCGGATGAAGTTATAATTGAATGTCCAGAGCAATCCTTAGCAGGGCCGAGTGGGGATGCATTGCCAGCGGACAGACCCTTAGCAGGGCCAAGTGGAGATGCAGTTCCAGCGGACAGATCCAGTGAATCAAGGCAAGGTCATGAGCAGCCAAGAGCAAACAGCGACACAGCTGAGTACGAGAGTAGGCAGAGATCTCGGCAGCCCGGATCAGACCGTGACACAGAGCGAAGACATGTGCCCTTGGACAGGCCCAGAAGGAAAACAAGATCCACAAAGGACACTAAATATAAGGACTTTATTTGCGAATAGCGAGAATTTGCGTGTCTACTAGCTTACATTAGAGCCTGTAAAGGACACAAGGGCTTACTCGTTATTAGCAACATTTAATTTATTTAGTTTATTTATTTATTTTTGTTTGCTTTTTTTCGTTCGCACCGTTGCGTCCCATCCACGTGATGGGGGGAGAGATGTAATGGCGTGACCGCATGCGTGACACGCCTAGTGATTAGTATGCATATTAGGTGTTATTAGTTTAGAACGGGCAGCTCGTATCATAACGTACGTAGTAAAGGATTGTGAAAGACCTACGATGTAAGCTCGACATTAAACAACCCACTCCCCCCTTATCTAACCTGTTCCCTGAGGCGTTCAGATAGTAGACCACGGCGGTCATTGGGAAGCGAGTTAAATTGTACAAGGAGAAAACGGGGGAGGCAGGGGGGGGCGAGAGCGAGGGAACGCCTGTAAACAATCTTCTCTCCTCCTTTCCCCCACTAGTCTCTCCTCTTTTTTCTTCGTGAATTTTTCTCCCGCGCTCCACCATCTGAACGCCTGGAATGGCGAGGATAAATTACATCAGGATGAATTCATCACGTACTTAAACAACCTACATCCCACAATCAAATTCACTGGTTCGTTTTCAAAATCTGAAATCCTTTTCCTTGATGTCAACGTCCTACAAATCAACGGCACATTACAAACTGACCTTTATGTCAAGCCAGACAAGCACCAATACCCCTTCAAATCACCCTGCCATCCATCCCATACTAAAAAGTCGATCCCTTACAGCATGGCATTAAGACTAAGAAAAATTTGCTCGACAGATGATTTCTTTCACAAACGTCCCAACGCACTCACCACACATCTCATTAAAAGAGAATATAAACACTGTTTCATCCAGCAAGAAATAAAGAAAGTACCGGCCTTATTCCACCCAGCCACGCCCTCGAAACATCCATAAGACAGGAATCTGACAGAGTTCCATTTGTAGTAACATTCAATCCAGCTCTTCCCAAAATAAACCATATTTTTTCTAGCAATCTTAACATTCTTCATTTTTCACAACGATTCAAAGAAGCACTTACTTCTCCTCCTCTTATATCCTACCGCCGTTGCAATAATCTACGTGACATCCTAGTCAGAGCCAAACAGCGCAGACCACCCTCCAAAACACCTGTTACTGACTGGACGGAAATTTTTGAACGCAAAGTCCAAACCAGGCTTCTTGAGAGATGGTAACTCAAGCGCCTCTTTCCAGGCCTCAGCGAATCGACCAGTGTCAAAAGAGAGGTTGATCAGCTTAGTGATGGCTGGCAATAGAACATCCAGCAACTTGAGAACAATCGGAGTGGGAATGGGGTCGAGTTGACAAGATTTACCCGCTGCTTTACTAATCAACATGCGCACTTGTTCTTGAGAGAGAGTCCTGAAACCGGTCAAGAACTGTTCTTTCAGGCATGTAATATCAGTAGCAGGTAGAGATGGTACGGACGATGTAGATAAATTAGCCAAAGATGCGTTTATATTTTCAATATTCTGTGCAAAGAAATTTCCAAAATCATTGGCAAGCCGAACAGTGTCAACACGAGGAAACGATGCAGTGTTGGTGTTAGTGTCACACAACAGGGACTTTGTAACATTAAACAGTTTTCTCTGATCAGAACTGTTTTGCTGGATATGATTGGTGTAATAATCACAGCGAGCTTGGTTCATCAAGTATATTGCATGGTTTTTCTTCTTTTTAAAAACACTTAGATCCTGTGCAGATTTAGAATAGCGCCATTTCCTCTCAGCTCTCCGCCTAGCCTTAATAGCATCCTTAATTTTGTGGTTAAACCAAGGCACGCTTCCTATTAGCAACAGATTTAGTTCTCAGAGGGGCATATTTATCAAGAAACAAAGACAGCGTCTTTCATATATGGCAGTACCCCTCCCTCCCCGGCACCTCCGGGGAGGAACTCCTCCTCTCCGCCTTTCCTGCTTTACAAAGAGTGAAATTTGTACCTGGCAGAAGATGACAGTTGAGCCTCGCAATCATGGTACAGCCTCGCCACCACGTCGGGAAAGATTTGTCGACATGGCGATCTATGGAGCAAGGGACAAGGAATTTTTCACCTCAGCCTTTTTTTTAATTTGCCACCGAACTGAATATCTTTTTTTAACAGGTGGCTCATTGCATTAATCGTTAGGTAGCGAAAACGGATTTTAGGATCAAAGAATGGCGGATACTAGGTTGAAAATATTTTTGCTTTGTACTATGTTCGTCGCTACAGCATCGCTGCTTGTCATGTTTTATTACTCCGAGGCGGCTTCAAGGTATACGAGAATAGGATTAAACTACATAGAAGTGTTCCGGAGTAAGCTTACCTATGTAGGTTCTAGGACGAGAGAACGCGGCTGGATGATTACGAACAATACATTCCAATGGGACGAATTAATTTTAAATTCTTCGACGCGCGATCCTTACACGTCTGAGAGCTTGATCTCGACGTCATCTTTCGCGCCGGAGGCGAATTGGACTACAGATAGGGATAAACTTACCGAGGAGTCAACGCAGCAAGTAATAACAAAACGAAATGTTCAAGAAGAAACTAAGCCATTATCAACAACGTCAAGTGAAATTCAACAAGCAAAAGAACTATGTCCCAGCGGGTCGAGGCAAGGTTTGTATAAGTTTGTAAGCTTACCGGTATACGAACCTGCCTTTTGTCTTCATAATGTTACTTGATATTTAAAAGCAGGCCAATTTGCTTTGAATTGCATTAATCTTACCTGCTATGCTCCCCATGGAAAATTCTAAACAAAAGCCAATGCGTAAATTGCGTGACTGCTAGAAAATTGTTGATCAAAAGATCTCATAGTCGTTTGCAACCCGAACGAATGTTTAATCGTGCCATTGAAGCGAGTATTGAAGTGGACATTGTAATAAGACATGCTAAATAAAAATAATTTCGTAAACTGCACTGTTTCCCCAAGGGTTTAACATTCGCTAAGTCAAAGGAAAAAATATTTAAGCTTATTTAGTGGCGGGTAAGTTTAATTGAAATGGACCTGTATTCAATGATCAGCGAAATGAAGGGGCTCATAAATTTACATTTCAATTTCCTGTTCGATTTTGAAGAAAATAGGGTGTTCTGCAGTTGCTTCAAAATAGAAACCCAAGTACTTTATAAACTTTCCAGGTTTTGCTAGTCTGAAACGAGGAAATTTCAAATTACATAATTTTTTGTATTTTCTGCGTTGTTTGTTTAGGGAAGTTGTATTTGTCTGCAAGCAAATAATTAATAAAAATTATTTTGCCTACAAAACAAAAGAATCCTTTATTTTGCAGCCAATAGGTCTTTTACCAAGGGACTGACAAAATTTGTTCGCTATAACGGGGTTTCGTATCGAGGTCCTTTTTCCATATTATTATTTTACTATTATTGGGGTAAAGAAATCATTCGTAATCTATTTTTATTATGATTTTTTTTGACGAAATTGGAGATAACAACTTATTCAACTTTTATTTAGTTCCTTTGGAATAAATTATTGTTGTAGATAGTTTTTTGAATTTTTTTTCTTATTGGTAGTCTTTACACTAGAGTCTAAATAAGCTAAGAAATATTTCAAGACAAGTAAATTTTAATTACTTCAAGTAAAATAAAGCTTCACACACAACCGATTCTTTCTTTACTTCAGGTTAACTTAAGGCCATTTTCCCTTAAAACATAATTAAGATTGATTGACATGTTTTGCCTCTCTCAAAGTTCAAGAAACTGCAAGTCAGTTTAATCGGTCATAAGGATGGTTTTCAAGTTGCTTGAAACTTTCTTGAATAATTGTTTCAACTTTCCGACTTTACTGAGGTGCAAAGTAAAGTTACTTGAGATTTTACTTCTAATGGCCTTCACACATGAAGTGTTACTTAACAGCCTAGTGTAAGGACAACCATTGTATGAGTTGCTAAAGTCCCTAAATTGCCAAAAAAAAAAAAGAATAAATAAATAAAATAATAGTAATAATGATAAAAATTAACATCACCTACATGGTAGCTAACTCTGAAAATGTACTTTGTTGATTTCTTTTTAGTGGGACCACTATATGTCGACCAAACAGTGCCTAAAGAGAAAGACCTTGAAAGAGAAATGTCTAGTGAGTTTGATGGCTGGGTCAATAAAGGCGGATGCTGGAGGCCAACTGAATGCCAGGCAAGGGTCAAGGTGGGGTTATTAGCAACTTTTAAATTTTCAATATCAAAACATTTCATAGTGCTTCCTTTTCAAATAGAGTTGGCAGGGGCGTTATTTTGAAACGTCTGGGGGTGTGCTTTTCCGTTAAGCCCCAATATCCACATACAAATTCTCCCGACTGATATTCATACATTCCCTAGAGATACAGTAAGTTGAGAGATTTTAATAAAAGGACAAAGCATTTTCTCTTTGGTGATCATTTGATTAATTCTCATAACCATTTCTCTTGACAGCATATGGATATTGTTAGGAGAAAATTCATGTTGGTCACTATTAGGACTAAAAGGTTTAAAAATATGTTGTCATTCAGATTTTATGATATATTTTGTTTTTTGGTCTTTTCTTTTCTTTCTGTGGGGGTTGTCAGAAAAGTGTGGTGTATCAAAACTTCCCCCGCCTTGGCAATAACAGATTTTAAAATGCGGGTAATATTTTGTTGCTGACAAGAACTGTCAAAGCGTATCTTTTGTCTATGTTTGAAGGAAACGTGGATTTGCTTCAATCATAATATAGTTTGACAACTTTTATACAGAAGGCCAGTCCTATGTCTTAATATTTTGACCCCCATCACATTTTGTGCATTTTGAAATTTACCCCTCTTAGAAAATTGTACCCCTCCCCCCAGGACGTGATAAACGATTATTCCCCTACTATTCTATGGTGAGAGCATGGATTAATCACTACCCAGTAGATAACACACTTAACATTCATTAAATCAGTTATTTGTTGTAGGCTATCTGCCAGCCTGAAATCAAGAACATGATGTTAAAACTGCAATACAATCTCTCTCCAGATGGCGCTTATAACTCCCTACCGTAATCGTTATGAGCAGCTCTTAATGTTTGTGCGTCACATGCACCCTATGCTTAAAAGGCAAAATTTAGACTACAGGATTTTTGTGATAGAGCAGGTATGTTTTTAAACTTAGCAGTACAACCCCCCAAGTTACAATTTTTTGGTCTCCATACATTTATGGCACGACTCTTTTGGTGTAGGGAGCCTTTTTTATAAATCAAGTTGCCATCTCCAAAATTTTAGATGCCATGGTGACCAATGGTCGCAACTTGGAGGGTTGCAGTGATATAGAAACACATGCACTAAGATCAATCTCAACTTTATACTCTAAAGGTAATGTATTCGTCCATAAGATCATCGAAAATCAGCGCTACAGGTGGCCATCTTGACTGAGTCTTGCTTGAAGATGACTAGCTCATCTACTTAGGGAGCAGGGCACAGATTGGGAGGAAGCAATTCCCATGCCTTCTTTCCGTACCATTACAAACCCCGACATCTTCCCTCTTGGTACATTTGAAACCAATAACTAATGGCTGTCAGTGCCAGTGACCACTCAATCTTGATGATCTTATGAAAAAAACAGGGTACTGTGAATAGTTATCCATATTCCAAGGCTGACCTTTCAAGTTCTAGAACCTTGTTGGAGCCAGGGGGGTGAGCCGGGGGGTCCACTGTCCTTAGTCTAGACTAGTTTTGAGCAATTCACACCAATAGCTACAAAATAGAATTTTTTTAATTGGATTGTGGTCCATAGCTTAATCTTTGTAAAGCAGGTTGGGCAAGTCATATCAATTTTTGTGATGTGCATACAGCTATTTCAATTATTTAGTCATTATTGTTGTTGGAAAATATAAAGCCCAAGCAATGAGACTGTGAAACAATATGGATAATTTCATCAAAATATTCCCAAAGTCAGTCACAGTTCATGATTCTACTGTCATAAAACAACAATGGTACACTCTAAAATTTAATGTTAGTGAGGTTTTTTTGGCACTGACAACCATGAAGCTAAGAACAAATTTTAAAGGACTTTTACAGTTTCTCACACAACTTTGCAGTCTTCTTGCGTAGGCTTGAGGCCTTAAAATCTGACAGCATGAATAATAATGTTGAAATACATGTACCTGGAGCTAAATACCATAATACTCTATTTACATGGAGTGATTTTACATGTTAATGGGAACACAAGTGCTACGTGTACAGCTGAAACTGCAGATGCCCAGTTCAGAATTACATACATTGCAATGCAGTTAGTTCCCTTTGAAACAGATACCTGTGGGACCAAAACAATTATTTGTCTGTCTTAGAAAGATCTGTATCTTATAGGGAGTCAACTAAATTAGGCCATCTGATATTACGCGGTGGTGCGATTTTGCACAATTGACCTCAAATTGCATCAGATTGCACAATTTGAGGAAAATCGCATAATTCGTAAAAAAATGCTAAATTCAAGTAAAGAAAACAATGAATTCTAACTTAAATTAAACATTTTCTCAATCTTAATGTTATTTAAGGTGATTTAACACTAAAGAAAGCCTTGCAAGACATCTGAAACCTTCAATCGTGTTATCTGGGCAGCCATTTTGATTTCAGAGACAAGCAGTGTGGTCAGCGGTGTAAGGGCATCATGTCATGACTATGTAGTGTGCTAACATGCAGTTCATACCAAATAATCGGACAAATTTAACTATTTTGTTTTAAATAGATGTTTTATTATTCTTTACATTCAAATTGCCTGTTAAACAACATTAAAATGGTTTTTCTCCTTTGAAACCTGGTAAAACAATGTAAATTAGCCCTGAAAAAATCACATAATTTATCGCATAATAGTCGTAACTTATCGCACAATCTTCCCTGAAAATATCGCACAATTTGTGATTTTTTATCGCTCCCTATCAGATGGCCTGCTAAATGGTGGGAAGAAAGGCAGGGACCAACTCTTGGTTTCCATTTTACAAGGTGCCCATTTTTTAGGGTATCTGTTTAGAGGGAGCTGACTGTGATCAAAATTACTGATTTGTCCGCAGGGTAAAAATCCTCAGCCACCTGAACCTCTTATGAAAAAAGCTTTTCATTACTCTCTGTAACCTTCTGTCCCAAATAAAGAGAGAGAATTGATAATTATAATATTGTTATGCTTGCATTTCTATAAACAGGCTGGAGAAACTCCATTCAACCGTGCCATGATGTTTAATATTGGTTACAAGGAATCACTAAAATTTGACCAGTATGAATGCTTCATTTTCCATGACATAGACTTGATACCAGAAGATGATCGTAATGAATACAGCTGTCCCTCCTCACCTAGACATCTGTCAGTGGCCATAGACAAATTTTCTTATCGGTATGTTTAACTGAACACTCTACAATCATGTATGTGTTCTGTTACTCACATTACAGCACCTGAGTCACAGAAGAAAATCAAGCATGAACATGCACAATGTTTTAGTTATTCATTTTTTATTTTATTTTTATGTGCTGTAAATTAACTTTCAGATGCACCTCCTTAGCTAAATAATTTGGACATGCCAAAAAAAATTGATTTGTTTAACCAATGTGCCCCTGGAGATTTTTCCTATAGACACATTTTGAAGGAGTTTTGGGAAAGCTTTTGGGATAATTATATTAGGATTAGATGGAAGAAATTGCAGGGGGTTAATGAACAAAGCAAGATTCTCACCGGATTTTTTGGGTCAATTTTACATCTCTGGCTTCCTTGACTGATTCGTGCTCATTTTGGTATGGTTTGAAAGATCTCTTTTCCCTGCACAAGTTAAATGACATTAAGATGCCACAAGCGATACAAAGGATGTTGATCTGTATAGGCTGTTATGAGTAGTTGAGGGGTGAATGGATTAAGTCAGAACTTTACAACTTCCTGGTTTCATCGAACAACTAGGTTCTTTAGTCAGTTTTTTCCTTGTTGAAAACAGCTAAGTTACCCATCTCAGATGTTTGGATAGTCAGCTGTGTGTTAGAATTCAACCCTTGGTGTTCAAAAACAAAAAATATATATGTTGTAGTTAATTTTTTATCTCAGGTAATTTTTATTTTTCTTTTGTTTTTGGGTATGGTAATCTATGCTAATGAAGTTGAAACAAAAGAAAAATAAAAATTACCTGAGATAAAAAATTAACTACAACATATACATTGTATATGAACCCATACTGTACTCCTACTCTTAATTTCTTATTCTGCTCAGCTACATGTTTGCATGTTTTTAATTCATTTGCATGCAGGTTACCATATTCCACAATCTTTGGAGGAGCAGGCTCCCTTACAAAGGAACACTTTAAACTTATCAATGGATTCTCCAACAAGTTTTGGGGATGGGGTGGAGAAGATGATGACCTCTACAACAGGTACATGTATATGTATTGATTTTGATTTCTTTGTAGCCCTACCTATTTCTCTGTGACTGATTTTTTTTGTAACATGAAGATGATCTGAACTGCGGAAATACAAATTTTTAAATGAAGATATGATCATCGCTGTGGTAATTGCAATTTAAACAATTGCAAATACCCCCCCCCCCCCCAAAAAAAAATGGGTGGGCTTCAACAGGATTTGAACCCATGGCCTCTGCATTACAGCTGCAGCACTCTAGCATTAATTTTGAGCTATGAAGACCCATACATAAAATGGGAGCGGACCAATTTGTTGAGTTCGTCTTAACCCCTGAAAGGAATGAAACATGAAGATGGTGTGAACTGTGGAAAGACAAATTTTTGAACAAGGATATGATCATCGCAGTGGTAATTGCAATTTTTAGGCAATTGCAAATACACCCCCCCCCCCCCAAAAAAAAACAAACAAACAAACAAACAAACAAATTTAGGACTTCAACAGGATTTGAACTCATGGCCTCTGCATTAGGGCTGCAGTGCTCTACCATTTGAGCTATGAAGACCCATACATTGGGAGCAGGCCAATTTGTTAATGGCAAATGGCTGCTTTGTCCAGGTGGAGTGAAGACTTGATGTTCCATGTCATCCATGTATCCAACAATTAAAAACCAACCTCTTCATGTTGGAAATGGCAAAGAATGAAAATGGTGCAAAAAAAAAAAGATCACCCTGATCATCACAGCCTTTTGCTCTGAACACAGTAATTTTTGTAAAGCAATGGTTATTATGCCATATTATGATATTTTTCTGAATGTAGAGGTATAGTCACTTTTTTCTTGTTCTGCACAGTTACCTGTCATTATGTTGTATAGCTTCAAAGAAAAACCCTTACCAATCTTACCATAAATACAATGTACAAGTGATAGCTGTTATTCTTGTGATAACCTCAGCCCACTAAGTCATCTCTTTCTCTAGAACTGTCTCTTCTCATGCCCTGTTTTAATTTTTTTAGAATAGCTGCTAAGGGGCTGAAGCTAACTCGACCATCCATGGAATTAGGAAGGTATAAAATGGTACAGAAGTATCATAAGTCTGCTCCTGCTGATGAAAAGAGGTGAGCAAAGCTATAAAGTAATAATTAAAAAAGGAATAATACTAAAGATCGTTGTTGAATCGTGTGTTAAAGCCTTCCAGTACAAAGTAATTAACTCAATTCTTTACACAAATACAAAGTTGTATAAAATAGGTTTTAGAAAAAATGATTTATCTGCTTTCTGTGACAATCAACCCGAATTATTAACCCATTTGTTCTATCACTGCTTACATTCTAAACTGTTTTGGATTGAATTTGAATTATATTGGTGCCTTACTTCGAATCAACGAATTAGTCTCTGCTTAGAAAAAAATGTGCTCTTTGGAATTTTGACAGAAAATTCTTGCCCTTTACTTAAAAATTGCTGAACTATTTTATAATTATTGAAAAATTCTATTTGTGGGACTGTAGGAGCAAACAAATCCTTCCAAACATTTATGGATCTACGGCGAAGATCATCGCTAAATATGAAAGAGAAGAAAAAATCAGCAACAAAGAATTCTTTAAAAGAAAGTGGATACTGATGCTAAGTTAACTGTCTTAACTTTGCCCTGTTGTACTTTTTTCTAATTTCTTTTAGCCCTTAATTAGTTTAACAATTAATTTTGCTTTACTCTGTTAATGTCTATTGTTAAAATGTTTTTTTGTAGTATTGTAAAATGTAATAATATTTAATGTGATTATCAATAAAATTAATATCCCACCCCTTCCACTTAAGGGGCTTTTTTAGGGATAATGAGTTGCAGTAATTCAAATGGACCCTAATAAGGTTAAGAACTCCTCCAAATTAGTTGGAAGCAAATCTTTTAGCTATTTTCAGGGTTGTCACTAAGATTTCAAGTTGCCGGGTAAATACAACAAGTAGGCGGGAAATCAAACGGCTAGGGATTTCTTTTGGTTCTATTTTTCTTCGATTTTCCGATAAAAGTAGCCGGGGGTCACTCTCTTAGTAGCCGGGGAAAAACCCCGGCCCCTGGCTCTTAATGACAACCCTGTATTTTACACGAGTGGCCTAGGATTTGAGCTTGTGACTACAGAGAACAAATCCAGTCAGCTAGCAGTCAGGGGAATACCCAAACCCTGGGGCATCCAGTCTACAAGTCTAGCAGTGCAAAAGGGAATACATATGTATGTACAATTTTGCCAGAAGTACATGCAGTGTATGTGAGCACTGCCAGAGTTGTTATAAAATTATTGCAGTCTGTGTTTCGGTCCAAGCTATTCTGCTCCTCCAGCCCTTTCCCTAAAATAATTTTACGCATTGTAAGTCTTTGTAGTTTAATTGTCATATCAATATCAACATTGCCAGGGCAGAAGAGGGAGTTGGGGTCCAGGGTTAAGACTTGCTCTTCTCAAACAACTGTATCCTTACACAATGTAATTTAATTTGTATTTTCTACTAAATAGATGCTTTGTCAGTTTGTAAAGCTCATAAAGCAGTTCTGACCCATAGTGGCCTGTCTAAAATTAATACTTCCTTCCTTATTCAGCCTTGATTTTTAACCAGGCCGCTGAAGTACAGTTAGAAAGGCTCTAATATATTTATTGCAATATCAGATAAAAACAAAACTGAAATGTAATTTGCTTTCGTGTTAGTTTTAAGAACCAGAATTGAGAAATGTACTGCTTGGTAACAGTATAGCTGACCCTGTCACGTTTTATGACCTGTAAAATGACAGTAATTTTTGGAATAGGCCATTTGCACTAGGAGGTCACGTGACATCATTTTTATGAAAATGAAAGTTATGATTTTGCCTTCAGAAAACGAATAGTGGGTCATATCTTAAACAAAATAATAGTGATTTTTGAAAATGAGTAATTTCGTAGCTAGTCAGTACTGACATGTGACCAAAATGTGATTTTTAAATGAATTACCTCTTCTGAACCCTGAGAAATTTTGCGCTTAAACTTCAAGGAAACTGTTGAAAAGATGATGTTGTAACGTTTTCAGCACATCTGAGTGTAACTATCTAACGTTTAACAAGATACAAGTAAAAAGTAGTTTCGGCCGCCATGTTGGAGGGCAAGAGTATGCCCTCCAACATGGCGGCCAATACAAATCATACTACTTTGTTGAAAAATCAAAGTGCCATAAACTATCTCCCTAAAATGGGTTTCCTCTGAAATTTCGGGTGTAAGATAATTTCTATGTGTTCCATCAATTTTTGGCATCAGCAAGATTCCAACTCATTGTTTAAAGGAAGTATTGGTCACGTGACCTCTTAGTGCAAGTGGCCTATTCCGGTTAGGTCAAATTAGTCTCATTATTCTGTCACACTATATTTTGGGGGGCTGAGGGATTGGGGGAGGGATGTGTTAAAATAATGCTAATAGTTTTCTACCTAGAATGGTTAACTTGCTTATTTTTATTCATAATGGTGGACTTTAAAAGTTACTATACAGCCCTGACTTAAAAATAGTACTCGTTTTTTCTGGTAAAGAAGGTCTTCCTCAAGGCTTCACATAGATTCTGCATCATGCAGTGGTCCTCAGAGACAAGTTTTTTTTGTAGCCTGAGTGTGTACAGCTGCCTCTTCCCCTCAGAAAAAATTACCTCATGGCAGCCCAGTTAAAATTACCTTTTGGCTATGTTTGTTTTTTGTAGGATGGAGAAGCTGCGGGACTCTGCAGCAAGGATGGCAACTGACGGTCTTAATTCTATGAAATATACTGTGAACAAGATAACAGAACACCTTCTCTACACTCAGGTGACAGCAGATGTCAAAGATGCTATGGAAAGTGAGAGATAGCATCATTTTACAAGCCATGTTACTAGTTTGTAATAATTCATTATGCCCCCTCTACTGCAGGTAGCCTTTTTCACAATACATCACTACTGTACCAGTACATACGGTCAAACCTCCTTCTTGTGGACTCCACCCTATTATTTAACAATTATTATTGCATGATTGCACGTTAGATATGAGATGGTAGAATGCGCCGAGTTGGCTATAATCATCTCATATTCAACAAGCGCAAGTGGAATAATAAATTGTTGTATTAAAAACGCCCACAAAATAATATCGAGAATTCTTTCCCGGTGACTCTATTTGTAAAAATAACCAATTTTTAGCTTGTCTTTAATTTTGAGCAGATGCTTACATTACCACTTTTGGAGAGCATGGCTCATATACCATGATGGCTTAGCCAATCAAAGCTCTAGAATAGCATTATCCAATTGTTCAGTTCTTAATAACTACAGTTCTCTTGGTCCTACCCTGCAAGCAGAGGCTCCTTTTGTCTTCCGTCTTGATCAAAGAAGAGAAAAGGAGGCTTTGTATAAATCGTGTCAAGCCTTTGAAGTCTCTGCAGCGTGAACTTCTGAACTAGTTACAGTCACGATAGGTCAAATGTACCCTGTAAGATTCTGTTAAATGAATTGATTATTTGAAAATTGAATCCATTAGTCGTTCCCATAACTAGTGTCAATTAAAATTCAAATCGGCATTCCTGTTTATTCCTGTATAATGAGCAATGAATATTTTACAAGAACTTCTCTGTATTTGGTCAGATTGAATATCTTTGAATGGATGAAATTTCTTAGAAGACATTTACAGCAAATGCAGTGTGGCCTGTGAATTCACGGCTCATTACGCATGCAAGAATGCAGAATTGAATCTAAAATCTACAACTACCACCAAATTTATCTTTCGAATAATAAATTCACTTATGGAATCTTGTGGGGGTACACTTGACCCGGCTTGACTGTAACCTCGTTTTTTCTCATCAAACTGGTTTTTTGAGTGCAGGCATTTGGTCATAACTTGGTCAACTGTACCAAGTGCACAGGTATTAGGCCTGGATTGGAGACCGTCTCCCAGCAACATCTAGGGCATTGTTTTCATTCATGCAGGGTCTTTCTAGAGTAGGCCAAAATAAAACCAGCGATTAGAAAAGCTTTTCTGGCAGGGTGTCTTTGTCCCAGGTGACACCTTTGTACAGAGGACATTTGGCTCTGTCCCTTTGGTTTCCAAATCAAGGGGGTTTGACTATATCAAGGACAGTAATGACAATGATGGAAACAAGTACTTTAAATAAGGTTAGTTTTCACACCTTCTAGTTTGTTTCGTCCTCTGCCAAAAATACAGCCTGAAGCAGCTAATACAACCTACCGTAAAATTGCGAAAATAAGCCCCAGGGCTTATATTTTGCAAAGGCCCTTTTTGAGGGGCTTATTTTTGAAGGGGCTTATGTACGGAGGGAAATTTGTGTTTCAAAATCGATTGGGCTAGCCGTGTATTGGGAAGGAAATTTACCATTTTTGCTTTGTTTTCTAGCTGATCTTCCGTCAGATTAAAATCCCGTTTTAAAGCTGAGGTATTTTTAGAAAGCTGTGCCTTTTTACTTATGAGCAATGAATAATAATCTTTTGATTTCTTCTTTAAAATATCAAAGTCGTTATTCTTAATTATCACGGAGGGTGGCATTGTTAAAAAGGTGTGATCAGATGTTCTAGGATTAGCTTTTAAGTGGGACGGTACAGCATATCTGAGACCTGCCCATACTAAGAAATTGGTTTTTTCAATCTTTCTTATAATGATACTATGTGACTCTGCAATACTTAAATCAAATCGAAGATCGGAAACCAGAAGAAAACCATTGTCGAAAAATGTTTTGTAAAAAATTGGCTTATTATTTATCCTAATGTCTTTATTATTCCAAATAATATTATACCGCATTTTATCTGTAGAAAAGTCATCACGAAAATCAGCCCACCATTGAAGCAGCTCGGAGTAAAAAGGTGATTTGATTAGAACGTCTTTTACATCGTAGTTACAATGAAATAGAAAGAGGCCCCCGAAACTTTTAAGCTAATACAACCTACCGTAAAATTGCGAAAATAAGCCCCAGGGCTTATATTTTGCAAAGGCCCTTTTTGAGGGGCTTATTTTTGAAGGGGCTTATGTACGGAGGGAAATTTGTGTTTCAAAATCGATTGGGCTAGCCGTGTATTGGGAAGGAAATTTACCATTTTTGCTTTGTTTTACTTTGTATTCGAGGGCAAATTCCAAGTACAAGCCCCCGGGGGGGCTTATATTTGGAGGGGTGATTTAACGGGGGGTTTTTTGCATTACGATTTTGGGGGCTTATAATGTATATTTGGAAGTGCTTATACATGGAGGGGCTTATTAATTTTCGGAATTTTACGGTATTTTAGATTACAAGTTTTCCCTTCTTTTTCTTCAACTTAGAAGCTGTCCCGTAATATTTCTTATACTCCAGACAGAGTAAGGAGAAAAATTTGCCATCAGTGAGCCATTTCTATTTGTACAGTTAGGTATTATCAAAATGTATTTATTATACATGTAATTTTATCAGATGTTTATCCAACAAGATTCTTAAGGGTACTGTAACAAAACACACTTTTCCACAGTTTTATTTGGTATTTTTTTCTAATTTACAATTAACTGAAAAATGTGTGTCTATCAATATATTTTGAAGCCTCTAGAACCTTTAAACACTTATTGGACAATGACTGGTTTGTTGTCGGCTAAAAGGATTCTCCTCCTTGTAGTACAGTATTTAATTTTGATGAAAACTGTGAAGGCCTCAAGCCTCTCCTCGCACGGCCAGCGACCCTTGCCTCTCCCATCCCAGCACCTAATTGCAGTCACACATTAATACGTTAGGGTAAATTTCGACAATCGACATGGCCTTGAAACAGGGCAGCAGAAATGGTGACAAACGACACAAAGATGGGTTGAAACTGTGACAGCGACAGAACGCAAATACAATAGTGAAATATCAACAGCGACATGGCTTCCTCCTCAATAACGTGAAACAACAGGTTTTGAATTTAAAAAAATGGAAAGGCAAGTAGGAATTATTAGCTTGGCTTAAACAATTCATGGCTTTCAAGACTTGGCTCCATAGTCTCATGTAAATCCCATCAGTTTCTTGTATTTGTAATTTTCAAAAATAGTAGTTGATATGCCTAATTAATTCCCATTAATTTTGGTCGCCTACATGACTTTTGCCTTCTTTATTGGACAATGTTACTGCAATAAGGTCAAATCCTAGAAACATGAAAGTAATGTTTTTAACCCAGTTTTAATGCAAAATGTTTGAAAAGAAAAACATAAAGACAACTTCAGTTAATAACTTTGATATAAAATTTCCTGATATTAGTTTTTCTCAAACTCAGAAAATTGAACACCTGAAATATGACTGTCAGGAATGTTTATTGTGTTGTGACTATAATTATTATTGTTAAATTTCGTGAAACACAAGCAAGCAGCAGAACCGAAAACTAATTACCATTGTTACTTGTACACACTGTACACTGATGGGCTTTTTCTTTACAACTCAGTAACATTTGACAAGTATTTCTGGTGTTGAGAGTTCACAGAAATGATATCATATTGTTGTACATGTAGTACAGAGATCTATATTGTTTACCTATTTATTTGATGAAGCAAGTAAATAAAATTATGGTACAGTGGAGCCTTGATATAACGAACCTTTATTTAACGAACTCCTCGGTATAACGAACAATTTTCTTTACCCCAGTAATAATCAAATATATGGAAAAGAACCTCGATAATTTATAACAAAACCTTGTTATAGCGGACACATTTTGCCAGTCCCTTGGCCCTTCGTTATATGGAGGCTCCACTGTAATATTAGAAATTATTTATGAACGTTTTTAGGCTCTCGTCCCTTTTTAAAATATTAGGGGTAGTGGTAAATGTTAAGCCAGGATGACTCTTAGATAATGTTTGAACTGAAGTGCCCACCTACATGTACCGGAAGAACCTGGGGGGTGGGCAAGGGATTTTTTGGTGGGGCGAAGTCATTAAACTTTTGGGTACTATGACCGGTTGTAAATTGAACTCACTCATGTTAAAATTACCTTAGGGACTATTCACTTACAGTGTGACTACTGCAACCAGGGGGAATAACACAAAGTTGACCAATCAGATTAAGAAAGATAACAATGTAAGAAAACAATATAAATTAACTCTGAGTACAAATTTCAAATATTGATGCAAATAAATAAATAAATAAAATTTAGGGGGTCATCTTACATGAGGATTCAGTTCCTCCCTGATGGCAGCCTTTTTGTATTGATTATTACAAATAAAGTTGTTATAAATAAATAAATAATATTATTTCCAAGAAAACCGAATTTGTTTTTTTTTGTTGTTGTTTGTCTGTCCAAGACTTCACAGGTAAATACGCACCCAGGAGACATTTGTTTGTTACAAGCTGTTTTTTGTAATCTACCAGCAATTTCCTTGAGAACATTGCTGCACTTTCCAATAACATGTGACCTCAAAACAAAAATGCGGAGGCGTGTCTGGCTGAGTGGTTAGTACCTTGAGCACCGGATCTGGATGTCTGGGGTTCAAGCCTCGCCCTTTTGTTTTCTCATTACAACTGTAATACCGAGGAGAAATTGGAAATGATGGTGATACACTTTAAAGCAAGGTGCATTATAGGTCTATGTGAAAATGGTGAATTAAGGGGTCTTCTTTGAAGTTATTGGCAAACGTTTTCCAAATTTGGTTCACAGTACATGACATGTAGCTGGTTATGAAGAATTTGCCAAGGAGAGGGAGGGGGGTTAAGCCAATCAGATTTTGGGATGTGCAACAAACCTCAAGTGGCTATGAAGGATGAAAGTTAGGCTTTTGTTAAGATGTTATTATTTTTTTCCTGATCACATCTTTTTTTTTTGTAGAGAAATGTTATCTTGTCTTAGTGCTTAGGATTAATACTCACTGATGCATCTACATTTGCACCACTTTCATTATTTGGTTCTGTGGAAAAAATATAGAACAGAAAAATAAAGGTTTTGGGAAGGCTGCACGGCGGGGCTAAAGTGCAGGTCACAGGCCAGGTTACAGGCCACAGGTCAGGTCACAGGTCACACAAAAAACAATCGGACACTGGACAAAACCGTTCTGGACTGACGTTTTACTATACAAAAATAAAATAAGCCAAGGAACCTTGATGATATTTTGGTCCTTTAAACACTATTAAATTCCACACATGGAATAATATTTTCATGCTGATCATACGGCATATCCAAACTTCGTAACGAAATCACAAAGGTGTGCAAAATCATGTGATTTGTGCGAAAAACATATCACATGTTTTTCACTGAAAACGAAGTGTTGTCGTGTTATTAGAATGTCATCTCCAAATAAACGGTGCAGCCAAGATAACTTGGAGCGAGTCATTGAAATGCAGCACTGTAATCCTTTGATAAATCAGCAGTTTACACAGTCAAAGATTCAAGTTGTAATGGCGGAATGCTCCCACCTAAGGCCCACGAGGCAAATACAACAGAGGTTTTTCAAGCTGTTGTGCAACAGAACGTGAGAAAATGGCGAGCTCTTGGGAGAAGAGCCGAGAAATATATGGTCCAGCAACTATTCG